AAGTATGACTAAAATAGAAAATAAAAAAATAGAAAACAAAATAGAGTGCTGTCTGTTTCATGTACACACACGCTAGTATATAGATACAGTAAAAAAAAAAAAAAAATTCAAAAAGAAAAAATAATTTTAAATAAATAAATGAAAACAAAAAGCGTAAATAAAATAAAAAAATAATAAAATCAAATAATAAATAAAAATCATATAAAACAATAACACATATATGAATATTAAGGGAGAAAAAAAACAAAACAAGTGAAATAAACTCGTGCTGGCAACTNCAACTCTGGTTGTTTTAAAAAGTGCTGCATAAATACGTTTATTTACACATTTTGATTTGATTTTCACAAATAAGTCAAATTATTCAATATGCTGTAAATTTTCCATCGCCGTAGGATTAATTGGAGCCAAAAGGCAGCAGGTACATTCAGTTCATCTGCACACTGGTTTTATTTTCTTTACAACTGATTTGGTTGGAAGAGCAGATTCTCTTTAGTTCACTACAGCTCCAGGAAAGTGACGCTGCATCATTCACAGGAACATACAGAGACAAAGAGCAGATTGGAAACGGCAGAAAAAAAGAAAAAAAACCCTGCATGCTATAAAAACAACAATGCAAGAAAAATCAACAGAAGAAGAACCAGAGTGAGCTATAATTCACAGGTTAAGAAAACCCAGTATGACAAAAGGAAAGGAAGCTTACAAAACTGGAGAAGGAGTTGAAACAATCCCTGATTATTAATCAAATAAATAAGAAGGAAACGAGGAAACAGGTTGAGGAGAAAAGTCGAGAGTTTGATGACGTCTTTCTTCACAGCTGGCTCTTTGCAGACAGTGAAAAATAAAAAGCACACATCTGGAAACACCGATTTCACACGTCTGCAGACAAACTTTGCTGCAACTGTTTGGTCAGCGAGAACAAACGGATCCGGACAGACGTACCACTTGTTGCTGCTGAACACGTATCGTTGTGGCAGGAGAGGAGGTGAGGCGTTTCTCCCACTGGTTGGGCTGAGGAGGAGAGGGAGGTGGCGCCTCCATAAAGGAGCGTTTTAGCTGGCTAATGCTAGCTTGGTGTTTCAGAACCTCGTCCTGGGTCTTATCATGGTCCTAATGGTCCGGTGGAGGGGAGGGGAGAGGAGAGGAGGGGAGGAAAGAGGAGGGAAGGGGGTAGTGAAGGAGATGAGTGCAGGTGATGGGGAGGAAAATAAGGGATGAAGAGGAGAAAGAAGGAGAGGACAGAAGGAGTTTAATGAGGTAGAGATGAGGAACGTAACGGAGATGAAGGAGGTGGAATAAGGAGGGAAGGAGGGAAGGAGGGAAGGATACAGGGAGAGAGGGACGGGGGAGGAAAAAATTTGGGAACATTAGTCTGTCAATCTGGAGGGAAACAAGATGGAGGCCGAGCCTCACTGGAGCCTTTTTCATTTAAAGGAGTTTACGATCAAGTGTTGTGTTTTAGTTTGTGTGTTGTGTGCGTCAGAAGGCTGCAGCGAGACTCAGACCTCCATCCAGTCGAGGAGTTCATCCTTAAAATCAGGTCAGAACCTGCAGAACGTGGAGCCGGTGGAGACTCTCCGTCACATTTATCTTATTTTGTTTTTCTCAGAGCTAACAACACGCCCGTCAGCCCGTTTCACCTCCATCTGTTCTTCAACACGAGCCTTAAACAGAGACAGATGTTACGGAGGTTTAACGTAATCGAGGAAATGTTCAGATTTAATCAGAAACTGACTGATTTGTTTCACATTTTAACTCTCTGAACCCCAAAACCTGCCGGCAGGTTTTAAAGACGTGTTGTCTTAAAAAAAAAGTTTAAAAACAGGAAAAAAAAGTCAGGTTTTCAACTTCCTGGTGGTCCTTGAATGCATCACTTGTGGCGTGCAATTCCATCAGGAAAAATAACCAAATCTAGGCCAAAATAAATCTTAAAATTACCTAAAAATCACTCTTGTGTGTCTCCTACATGTCTACTGCAGGGACAAAAAGCCAAAACAGTTTACAGTAGATCCAGAAAATAATAATTTGCGCTCATGCAGCACATTTCTCCTGCTGATGTGCAGAATAATGTGAAAAACAAAGTCTGTGGAGCTTGCAAAACTGAAAATAGTTGAATATCTACTGAATGTTGCGTCACGTTTCCAGTTTTCATAAAACTTGTGGGCACTTGGAAAACAGTTCTTAGAATTTTTGTAAACAATAAACAGGAAATTCAATTTTCCTTTTTCTCTTTTTCCTGATTCAAGGCGTTATGACTGTTGTTCTGCACAGAAGCTGTTCTTGAGCTATTTCTAGTCGAGGCAACAGAGGTGCAAAACTATAAAATGAACCACAGTCGGTAAAAAGGTGGCAGGAGTTGGAGCTCAGAGGGTTAAAGGAGGATTTGTTGTTCTTGTCTCCTAATTTGGATCACCACCGGCCCCACGCTGCACAATCAGCTGTTGTTGTTGTTGTTTTAGTACGTTATCAAACCACACGCCACTCAACGCTGGCAGCCAATCACCAGAGAGCAGGAAGTGAGCTCCCGGTGGCGGTTAGGGAGGCAGGGTTAGTCGGGTTAGAGCCTGGCAGTAATCACACCGTTCCACCGATCAAGGGTTGAAAAACACAACAAGAAAAACAAAAACCAAAACAGAAGTCAACGTGCACAGAGCATGCAGTAAAGTCACGCTGACGCACCGCCGGTCCTGCTCACAAGGCGGCCATTGACAGCGCTGGGCCTGGGAAACTTTCTGCACCGCGGGGCAGATACACATCGGGCAAATAGTCTGCACTTCATGGGTTCAGCGCTGAAAACATCTCAGTTCCCTTCAGAGTTCATTCTGAGGACTGAACTCATTTCTATCTTTTCTCCACAGACTGCTGCAGGTCTAAGAACTTTTAAACGNCATGAAGAGCATCAGGCAGTTTGTATCTGGCAAGCATCTGGAATCAACCGAAGCATCACAGGTGTCAGTTTACTTCCAGTAAAACCAGCAACACGCTGGTGGATAACCAACTTATTCATGGTTTGGAATAAAGCTAATTTGAGTAATTTCTTAAAGGAAAAAAGTCTGACTTTAGCTTCTTAAATGTGGATATCTTCTGGTTTCTTTACTTTTTTACGACAACAAACTGAACATCTTTGGATTGTGGACAAAACCAGACATTTGAGAAACACGGACTAACATTTTTTAAAGCATTTTATCGACCAAATTATGAAAATAATAAGTGAGGACTGAAAGTAAACGGACTCCTGGATGTTCAGCAGAAGCACCTCAGCAGCAGCAGCAGAGGGTGTCGCGGAAACAAGAAGCTTTTGTGGCGACGGAGGAGGAGAAGAAGAAGCTGAACATATAACAGCATCTAGCGTCGCTTCGGGAGCGCTGCAGTCGGTGTCAGTGGCTGAATAAAAGCCAGCGGCAGAGTGTCGACTGAGCAGCACCGAGGCTATCTCCTCTTCAAGGCTCTACGGCGACACCAACAGGAGACAGAAGAGAGGAGACGCAAACACAAGCAGGGACACAAGTGAGATATTCTCAGAGAAAGACGAGAAGTAAAGCCTCAGCCGACATGACGTGAAGCAAACACACAGAGGAAACACCAGAGAGGTAAAGTCCAGAGCTGCAGCGTCCTGGTCGGCTGGCTGGTCTCATGAATATATCGACAACCTCTGGAATCATTTTCACAAGCAGAAAAGCTCAATAAAGATCTGTTATTTCTGGCCAACCATGAACATTTTTACATCTTTGAATTGTTCTAATTTAATGCAGTTTATTTACAGCTACTGAACTCCAAACTAAGTTAAAGTAATCATCTGTGTGGCTGCATTTTCTTTGTTTTTTCTTTCTTTTTTTAATAAGAGGACAAATATTTGTGTATCACAGCTGAACAACCATCACGTCAGATCATTCAAAAACAGCAGCTGAATTGTCTTTGTCATATTATATATATATATATTAATAGCACTTGTGTTAAATTTTTTTTTAAAAAAAAGGTCGCCAGATGTTTTCAAATATTTCTCTTAGTGGTCGTTCAGTATTTATTTAACCGTATTTAAGAAACTGATTTCTTAAATTGCTTTCCTCCTCTGTGAAATTTTGTAGTATTTATTGTATTAATATATATTTAAACAATTTTATTCATATTTTTAACAAATATTTTTACATTTATTACAATTTTTAATTAATTAAAAAAAAAAAGTATATTCAATTTAATTAATTTACTTTTTAATTCATTTATATGATTTGAATATTTAAATTTTATTTTTACTGAATATTTGCTGAATATGTTTATTTAATTTTATTGCACATATTTTTTTGTTTTTTTGTTAGACGTCGTGGAAAACGTGCAGCACTTTGGCCAACTCTGGTTGTTTTAAAAAGTGCTGCATAAATACGTTTATTTACACATTTTGATTTGATTTTCACAAATAAGTCAAATTATTCAATATGCTGTAAATTTTCCATCGCCGTAGGATTAATTGGAGCCAAAAGGCAGCAGGTACATTCAGTTCATCTGCACACTGGTTTTATTTTCTTTACAACTGATTTGGTTGGAAGAGCAGATTCTCTTTAGTTCACTACAGCTCCAGGAAAGTGACGCTGCATCATTCACAGGAACATACAGAGACAAAGAGCAGATTGGAAACGGCAGAAAAAAAGAAAAAAAACCCTGCATGCTATAAAAACAACAATGCAAGAAAAATCAACAGAAGAAGAACCAGAGTGAGCTATAATTCACAGGTTAAGAAAACCCAGTATGACAAAAGGAAAGGAAGCTTACAAAACTGGAGAAGGAGTTGAAACAATCCCTGATTATTAATCAAATAAATAAGAAGGAAACGAGGAAACAGGTTGAGGAGAAAAGTCGAGAGTTTGATGACGTCTTTCTTCACAGCTGGCTCTTTGCAGACAGTGAAAAATAAAAAGCACACATCTGGAAACACCGATTTCACACGTCTGCAGACAAACTTTGCTGCAACTGTTTGGTCAGCGAGAACAAACGGATCCGGACAGACGTACCACTTGTTGCTGCTGAACACGTATCGTTGTGGCAGGAGAGGAGGTGAGGCGTTTCTCCCACTGGTTGGGCTGAGGAGGAGAGGGAGGTGGCGCCTCCATAAAGGAGCGTTTTAGCTGGCTAATGCTAGCTTGGTGTTTCAGAACCTCGTCCTGGGTCTTATCATGGTCCTAATGGTCCGGTGGAGGGGAGGGGAGAGGAGAGGAGGGGAGGAAAGAGGAGGGAAGGGGGTAGTGAAGGAGATGAGTGCAGGTGATGGGGAGGAAAATAAGGGATGAAGAGGAGAAAGAAGGAGAGGACAGAAGGAGTTTAATGAGGTAGAGATGAGGAACGTAACGGAGATGAAGGAGGTGGAATAAGGAGGGAAGGAGGGAAGGAGGGAAGGATACAGGGAGAGAGGGACGGGGGAGGAAAAAATTTGGGAACATTAGTCTGTCAATCTGGAGGGAAACAAGATGGAGGCCGAGCCTCACTGGAGCCTTTTTCATTTAAAGGAGTTTACGATCAAGTGTTGTGTTTTAGTTTGTGTGTTGTGTGCGTCAGAAGGCTGCAGCGACACTCAGACCTCCATCCAGTCGAGGAGTTCATCCTTAAAATCAGGTCAGAACCTGCAGAACGTGGAGCCGGTGGAGACTCTCCGTCACATTTATCTTATTTTGTTTTTCTCAGAGCTAACAACACGCCCGTCAGCCCGTTTCACCTCCATCTGTTCTTCAACACGAGCCTTAAACAGAGACAGATGTTACGGAGGTTTAACGTAATCGAGGAAATGTTCAGATTTAATCAGAAACTGACTGATTTGTTTCACATTTTAACTCTCTGAACCCCAAAACCTGCCGGCAGGTTTTAAAGACGTGTTGTCTTAAAAAAAAAGTTTAAAAACAGGAAAAAAAAGTCAGGTTTTCAACTTCCTGGTGGTCCTTGAATGCATCACTTGTGGCGTGCAATTCCATCAGGAAAAATAACCAAATCTAGGCCAAAATAAATCTTAAAATTACCTAAAAATCACTCTTGTGTGTCTCCTACATGTGTACTGTAGGGACAAAAAGCCAACAACAGCTTCTAGTAGGTCCAGAAAATAATAATTTGCGCTCATGCAACACATTTCTACGGCTGTGTGCAGATTAATGTGAAAAACAAAGTCTGTGGA